GTCTACTTCTTTCACCCGGTAGGGGAAGTTTTCTGTCATTATTTCTTCAAATAGGTTTTTAATATCCTGTTCTTTGTCTTCTCTGAAGTTGTCCCAGAGGCTCCTTACACTATCTTCATATTTTTGGATTCTTTTTTCTCTTCTGATTGGATGTTTTTTGCTTCCTCATATCCCAAATCACTGATTTGATTCTCGGCATCCTGTACTCTACTGTTGAATCCCTGTAAGTTATTCTTTATTTCAGTTAGTGTATGCTTAATTTCTGATTGGTCCTTTTTCATGTCTTTGAAATTGTCACTAAGATCCTGGAAATTCTCACTAAATCCCTTAAAGCTCTCAAAATCCTTGAGTATTCTTATAACCGTTATTTTGAACTCTGTATCTAGTAGTTTGTTTGCTTCCATTTCATTTAGTTCTTTTTCTGGAGATTTCTTCTGTTCTTTCATTTGTGACATGTTTCTTTGTCTCTGCATTTTGGCTGCTTCCCTTTGTTTCTATATATTAGGTAGAGCTGCTATGTCTCCTGAAATTGGTAAAGTGGCCTTGTGTAGTAGGTGTCCTGTAGGGCTCAGTTGCTCAGCCTCCCCAGTCATCTGAGCTGGGCACCCTATGTGGGCCCCTGTGTGGGCTGTATGCACAGTCTTGTTGTAGTTGAGCCTTGATTGCTGTTGGAGTCACTGGAAGGATTTAACCTCCAGGCCCATTGGCTGTGAGGACCAGCTGTGACTACAGTGGCGGAGTTTGCTGTGCAGGAGACACCCCTCTGGAGCAGGACTTGCTTCAGTGGGGCTTTGGTGCTCGATGAGTCTGCTCCTTGAGTGTGTTGCTTATAAATGTGTAGAGTTGTGATGTGGTGTGGTTTGAAGTTGTCCATCAGGTGCACTGGCTCTGGGGCCTCTGCCTGGGGCCACCTGACAGAAGCTACAGTGTGATCTGCAGATGGCTGCTACTTGTGTTGGGCTTGGAAGTGCCCAGGCAAGGCCAAGCTATAAAGCAAGGCAGGCTGATGCTAGTGCCAGGTCTTGGGCCTCTTATTGATAGGTTTGGGGCACACTGATGCCACCTGCTGCTTGTTTGGGAGATTTTAGGAAAGTCTGAAGCCTGAGCCAGGACAAGCCATTCATATGGAAAAGCTGCTGCAAACAGCTTGGATGGGGCTGGGTCTCAGGGAATCACCAGGGAGGAGCAAACAGTGTGAGCCAGATTGATGGAGACTCAGATATGGCTACTAGTCAGCTCTGCGATGGGGGAAGTCCCAGCATAAGAACAATGAAGCCTGTGAGTACCCCATCTGGGAGAAAGCTGCCTCCAAGTTTTTGCCCCATGCTAGGCAATCCAGTTCCTCTACGTATGTCCCTGGATCCTCCACAGGCTGCTTCCCCAGTACTGGAGCTCAGAGGGAGCAAATCCATGGAAGTCGGTGCACCAGCCCTTTAAAAGGAATTGCCTGGGACTCCAGCAGCCTCCATGTCACTCAGCCACAATCCTCACTTGTTTTTACAGCCTAAAGTTACAGGGACTTCTCTTCCTAGCTCTGCAACCTGGGCTGGGGGGCTGGTGTGGGACTGGGAGCCCTTGTTCCTCATGGGAGGCCTCCTCAGCCAAGATATCCCTCCCAATTTTTTTTTATTTTTTTTATTTTTTTAATTAAATCTTTATTGTTCAGATTACATTTGTTCCTCTTTTTTTCCCCCCCAACTCCCCTCCTCCCAGTTCCCGCCCCCCCCTCCGCCCCCCCTCCCCCCCCACCGTCCTCATCCCTAGGGG